GGAATCCTGTCTGTGTTTCCTGTCTGCTTTCAGGAAAGCCCAGTCAGGATAACCACACTGCTCCAGGGCCTGTCGTGTGTGTGATTTCTCTTTCTCCCTGGTTCCTGGGTTTGTAGGGACACTGTCTGCTCTGTGGTACAGAGTCCTGATCACTCCTAACTTGTGTTCCAGTGGGTGATGGGAGTCAAAATGTAAATATTGGTCTGTGTGGGTGGGCTTACAATACATGCCAGTTTCCAACCGTCCTCCATCTGAAACTGAGACATCGCAATCCAGGAACGCCAACCTGCCATTTTTTACATCCTCTCATGTGAACTTAATATATTCATCCACAGAGTTGATGTGATCAGTGAAATGTTGGACTTCCTGGGCTTTAATTTTAACCCAGGTGTCGTCAACATATCTGAACCAATGGCTCGGTGGCACATTAGCTTTTCTTGTATTCACCAAAACATTTTTGAAAAAAAATTTTTGTTAGAAGTGGTTTGCTGCAGTTGATGTTTGAGGCGTTTAGGTCCGTATTTCAAACTGAGCTTAGAAAAGGCACTGACAAACAGCAGAGAAGCTGAAGTAAAATGAGAGCAGGGTAGTTCAGATGCGTTTCCCCATAAACACGCCCACAAAGTTCTGACCAATCACACGATACTCGATGCATATCCTGCAAGAATAAAATTCTACCAGGGTGTTTTGCACAGAACTAATTTTCCAAGGTGAGCAAGAAAAAACAAGGCAATTGTTGTCACGCAGCCACGTCAGCAGGAAAAAATATTTGGCAATTCTGATTCGAGTATATCTACCTTTACATGGACTTCAGCAAGGCCAGCCATGTTTAAATGACAATCAGTGTTAATGAATTCACAGATCTGAGCCAGTTTTACAAGCTGCTGTTATCAGAAGGCACCGTGGATCTGTCACTGGAAGAAAATAAGATGATGAAATCTGGTTGAATCATTCACATTTGACATTGATGTTCTCATCTTCATCTTTTGACTTGTCTAAGCTTTGTTGTGATGTATAAAATATGTTTAATGAAAAAAGGTTTGAAGACAACCGCAGATTGTTCTGTTGAACATTTTTTGCAAAAGTTTATGTTGTTAGAGAGTACTTGATTGATTGATTATTTATTTCAAGTTAGTCAAAACAAAATTATATTCATTAATCATATTAGATTTGAATAGAGAAAAGAAAAAAGGAGAATAAAAAACGATTTATAATACCTAATACACTCGATCTGTTAAAAAACACAATACAATAAAGAATACAAATTAACCAGCTTGAAAAGGAGTGGGATGAAGATAAGCTTATTTACTCCCACCCCCATTCACACATTCTTTATACAGATGCCACCATTACAGATGATCACTCATTATTATAATATTAATTGTCATAACCTAACACAATATAATGACCTATCAACAGCATTACGCAATTACCATTGCCTCAATACTATATTTTCTATTTATAATACTTATAAATATTATGACTGGTGCATTTTTAAACTTACAAGTTTTTTCAAAAATGTTTTGGTGAATACAAGAAAAGCTAATGTTTTATTTTTTTCTTTCCAAATTTGGATTTTTCTTCTTTAAAAGTAAAACTGAATACTACTCTTTTCCCCTGAACATGACACACTACAATACAGGATAAAAAAGGTAGAAGAATATTTTATTAATGCACTCGGTAATTAATTAAATAACATGAATTCTTTGTACTCTGTCATTACCTCTAACCTCATTTCAGTAGTTTCTTTCTCCTTTATATTTCCTCTGTTACACAGCTACAGCTCAGTTCGCTTGAAGAAGGATTTTTCTTTAATGTTTTTAATGTTAGTTAATGTTCTTGCACACATGCACCCACAATTCCACGTTCTAAGACTGCTTTGCTAAGATCATTTTGTTCAAGTGGGGCTTTATTCATACTCTTTATTCATGCTCTTCAGAGCACTCTGTAACACACACCTCTCTTCTAGTTACACAGTTACACACACACACATGCGCGCTCTTAGATCACTTAGCTGGTGTGAACATGGGAGTAGACAGAGGAAAGGGAGCTGTCCAACACAGCTAGAGTTTATGTTCACAGGAGCCGTCTGTCTGTTCTGCCGCGACAGGAATTCATAGGGACCAAATTACATTAAAAAGATGGATATAAAACTTTAATGGAATGATAAAAAGGAAAGAAGGAAGCGTGGGTCTCCCTCTTTATCTGTTCTGTCATTAGTCCACTCTTCTGTTCTTTCCGCTTTTTTCCCTCGGTTCCTCATTATTCAACTTTTTCTACATGTTCACCTTTACTTTTTACCCCATTTCCAATCATATTTATTTAATCTATTTTGTAATAGAAAAATTCTACATCTGTGCTCGAAACCAAAAAGACACAGATGTAGAAATTTGATTTGATTTGAGTCAGTCAGAGGCGCTGTAGGCCTATGAGAGAGGAGAGCCACTTTGTTCTAAAGAAAAGAACTGTTTTTTTAAAGTCACTGTACAATGTCTATGTTCTAACTCAGTAAGTACTCTGTATCAATGCTTGGTATTAGCGAGTAGCCAAGTTAATTACACAGTTTGAGAAAAACTGTTATTGGGACACTCCTAATTTTAATCTTTAGAAAAATTACGTTGTTATAGGTGTATAAGCTGAAATCTATAATATTGTCTTCTAACACTAAATCAGGTTTATCTAACAGAGGTAGACAAAAAGGAGTTGGGGTTTTTAAAATAAAAGGGCACTGAAACCATCTAGATTTACTCACACAGACAAATAAAAAAACACATACATGATCTCACCTGAACACAAATTTCTGCACAGAATTACAACAGAAATAGTGTAACTTCACAAATATTGTCATCCAAATTATGTGACTAAAGCTTATTGTGTCTTAGAGTTTGTGTGAACATAATGTGTTTGTGTGTAGGTGTGTGTGTGTGTGTGTGTGTGTGTGTGTGTGTGTGTGTGTGTGNGTGTGTGTGTGTGTGTGTGTGTGTGTGTGTTTGCTGGGGGGAAATCAATTCTGCATAATAATGAGCAAAGCACAGGGTTATAATTTAATACATCCTAAATGTCTGCAGCTGTGTGTGTCGGAATGGGTGTGTGCAAGCATCACAATGCTCGTACTCATGGAAATGCATGTAGACACGGGTGCATGTTTTGCATGCATTTCTGTGTGTGTACATACACATGGATCAATGTATGCAAAACGCAGCAGCTTAATGATAATGTATGTGATAATAGTGTGGTACTAATTAATTTATAACTTTGCACTGAGGAGGTTGTTCCAGTGGCTAATATGATTCTATTACAACAATTAGCCCACAATGACACTGGCTAGGTCACTCACACACAGACATGCACACCTTACAGTATGCAGCTGTAACCCTGCCAATGAGCTTTAACCAATTCTGTCTGCATGTTTCCAATCACTTCATATTCTTTTTATGCACTGTTTGTCACACTGACCATTTTTATACAAGCAAAGTAAAACACAACTTTGTGCTTAAAAGCTACTAGTGTGTCATCTTATCAAATAAGCACAATACTGTAAAAACAATAGAAGCTACTTTTGTCATTTTAAAGTGGTTCGACTACAAGAGGATATAATTTTAAATTGGGTACTACATTTAATGCAAGAAAACTCTACCCACTAAATATGAAAAACACAACACATTTACAATTTAATTATTTAAACCAAATAGCCATTAGTATTACTAGACAATGAAGGCAGAAAAAGAAAACAAAAATTGTTAGTTATTTGTGGCCCAAACATACACAAATATCTCAAAAGAGCATTGTTGCAACTTGCACTCTGAAATATAGAAAGACCCAGTGTTAATTGTCATTTTTGATGCTGTTACACATTGTCTGGTTTTCATGCCTGCCCAAATAGTGACTCCTTAGTAACAACCAGAGTTGTATAAAGTACTTGAAGAAAGAACTAAGTAAAAGTAAAAATATCTTAACAGAAAATGACTTTGGTACAAAACTGCTCACAATAATCAGAAAAGTACTTTTACACACTCTAACAAATATGTTGAATTAACTTGACTAAACTGGTTCCACTAAACCGAGTTTAGTTTAGTGGAACCAGTTGATGTAAACTGGTTAAATAAATTCAACCCTTCATTTTTTTAGAGTGCATAAACCACTCTTTTCATGACGAGTTCTAATCATATTTACTGTATATTTGTAACATGTAACTAGGTATTTTATATTAAAATAAAGAAGTAAAAGTGTATTTTTTTGTTTTGAATGTAATGAAATAAAAGTAAAAGTTAAAATAAAAAAAATTCTTGGTAAAATGAAAAATCCTCAAAAAATAACTTGCGTTATGTAACAAAGTAAATGTTCCTATACATCTCTGGTAACAAGGTTGTGAAATTTTACACCCTCTAAAGTATGTAAGTACTTACTGTCCTCCGCAGTGCACAGGGTTGCCCAGGAGCTACTCGTCTGTCCATGAGCGTGTGACGCCACCACTCTGAAGTGGTAGTTTGTGTACGGAGACAAACTCTCTACATAGTAGGAAAAGGTCTTGGTTGCATTTTCCAAAAGTCTAGATGTGAAACAACACAAACAAAAACACATTAACATACAATTTGAATCTGTTCAAAATAAAATGTGTTGACCGCTAAAAGGGGGAGTTAAAAAGATTATATATATATACCTGTTTTTATAGTTAAATTTTGCAGGTTTAAGTAGAGCTACATAAATGCTGAGCTGTCCTTTTTTATATAAAGTTTACATTTAATGGCTTGCAGTATATTTGCTGCTGATGCATTTAAACATATATTCTGTAAAAACAAACAAAAATTGAATTCCAGTTTTAAAAAAACACGATTGGTCAGCTGCAATGGTCAGATTGTGTACCACTCAAAAGTCAAGGGAATGTTTTTATGACATTTTTTATTCCGTATTTTAATGTCTCATTATAGGAATTCCACACTAGACAGCTTCACAGAGAAAGGATGTTTCTTTTACTTTTTCTAGAGAATACATTTACAAGAAGTTTTATAAATAGCTAAATAAACACTGCTGCTTTATCCAGGTAAGTTTATGTAATCTAGCTGGCTTTTTTTGTGCAATACTGTAAAAATGCTACAAGTTTCAAATGGTCACTTAGAAGAATCCATGTTTCTCAAATGTGCAATATTTCTACAGCTTATCAGTTTATTCTCACATCACATAGCTGACCCCATGTCATATAATCTTACAAAAAATTCTAGGACAAAGTAAAAGAATATTGTCATAAATGAGACACCGTTGACCATTTAGCATCAGATGGATAGAGGGGATGAATGAATGAATAAATCAGGTAACAATGAGATTTCCATAGCAGAGGAGGAGGAGGGCATGACTGTCTGATATATAATACATGTAGCTAGTCATTTATTTATTACCACAGAATGAGAGCCTCCTCTTCTTGGATTAAATTGCAATTTGTTGTCAGGAAGCATGTAATGAATACATATCAGATGCACACATTTTCTCTCTTTTTATTCCACCACAATTCCTCAACATGGCCCACCAAGCTGCCCTGTGTTTTTTTTTTCTTTTCGATTCTCCTCCTGTCTTTTGTTTTTCTCATGGTGTGGTATTATCAGTTGTGGTGCATAGAGCCCCTTTTTAGATTTACATGTAAATGCATGTACAGACCAAATATTCAGATTTTTTTGTAGATACATTTGTGGTATAGATTTGAGAGGCATAGGTTTGTGTGCCTACCATTTTTTTTTACCCCTATTTATCATTACAAATCATTGAAATAACTTTGATATCTTTGTTTTTTAGTTACATGTGACTCAACCTGTTTTAAAATAAGAAACACTTGCACATCAGAAAATACTCAGGAGAACTCTTGGCATACTTGTCCACTTGTGTAACTACTGTGTCGGTGCAGCTTAAGTTGTTTCTTACCTTATGACAGGCCTCTGTGGAGATGTTCTCATTTGCAAGCTGTACTGAAGTGGGCCTGGTGCATTGGGGTTGAGAGGAGCAGACCAGGACACATTTAGACTTGTGTTGGTTGCATGGGCTAAAGTTGGAGGTGACAAACCATCTGGGGCTATAAAAAAACAGATAAAACAGATAAAAAGAAAAGTTTAAAAACGGTAAAGAAATAACACCAGAATATAGGAATATCTTGGGTATTTATAATATATTGAGCAGAAAAAAGGGAAAGAGGGAATAAAAAAAATGCTGTGAAAGCCTACAGTTAGATACAAACAGCAGAAGAAAGTCCAACATAGAAAAGGCTAAAAGATTCACAATTTGTTGTTTTGGTTTAATTTCTTTAACAATGAAGAAAAACAAAAAGGCTTTCAGAAATCCTCCAAATTGAACCAATTTGTCTAGTTCCAACACGACACACTTAAATACAGTTTCATATTCATCCTCCTTAAATACTGTGACTGTTTTACAAAGTAAACAACACTAGTCATTAGTTAGTGTTGAAAACCCATCACGTTTGACTATAAAAAAGCTCTTAGCAGCAGAAAAGATGCAATAAGAGAAAGATGACAACAGAGGTAAGGACAAAAACACAAGGAGAAAATCAGTGGCCACATTGTTGACTGTAAAACAACTAAAAGCAGGTCCTCTGATGCATAAAGTGACCCTTCAATCAAAGACTGCTCTCTTTCTGTTACAATAAGACTGATTGCTGAAGACATATTATTCCTGCCGAAGACAAGCAAATAAAACCACATGAGCTAAAAATGGAGCATTCAAGCTTTCAAGGTTTTCAAGCTGAAGCTCAGAAATATGATTAATCTATCTAATGTTGGAATATTAAACATATACAACTATCAATTATTATAGGAGAGGTCCAATAAAATTGGACTGTGGGCAATAAAGAAACCGCTTTAAAGAAAGACATTAGCTACATTTTGTGCAGGCTTAACCCTGCATTTAGAAATATTAAACCCAGTTGATTTGTTTTAGCTATTTAACAAAAAACAGCACTATAATCAGGTTTGGTATTTGACTTATAGACGTGAAGCATTATTGCTGCTTTGTGAGCCTAATTCTCTTTTTAGTTTCCTTCAGGCTGTTCTTTTTTTTAACAGAGATGATAAACAAGTAGTTGTTTTTTTTTACAGCTAAAGACGATATTTAAATTTTTTTTCTTCATTCAAATATCTAGATTTTACTTTTTAGGAAAAGATCAAGCTGAAGATGTAGTTGAGTTAAATGTTCATTCCCAGAGAGTGTTCACTTTTGATTCATGAAAAGACTGAGCACTCCCTCTCCCCCTCGCTAACGCACACATGCACACGCACACACACTCACATGCAGATATGCAGGCGTAAAACCGAAAAATCACAGACACATACACACCGCTGCTGCGCCTGTGTCTTTCTCATGCTGTGTTAGCAGGTACAATATCAGAGGTGTCACTAATCGTTTTAAACTATGCACTTTTATGTTCACTTCTTTCTCTCTGCTCTCCTCCTACTCTGCTCTTCTGTCTCTTGCTCCGCTAGCTTCTCTCTGTTCTTTCACAGAACAAGGACGCATCAAGACAGTTTGCCTTAAAGAAGTCTAAAGAGATGCCAGAGGCACAGAGGTAAAAAGGGAGATGGAAAGAGAGGAAACGTCTGGTATTTAAAATTTATACTTTCTTATGCCTTTGTTTTGAACTTGAACAGCGAAACTTTTCCAAGTCTGTCTTTTGTTTTTTTTTTTACTAAGACAGGTGTGTGGAAGTCTATAGATTCAGCACATTCAGTAAGGATTGTTAAAGTTTGCTCTCACATATTTGTAGGTTCCTGCTTGGTTAGCACCACCTCTCGACTGGTCTGATCAGTCGGGTATCAGTTTGCACAAACAGTCTGTTTCAGATCATTACAGACACCCACTCACACAGGCACACAAGTGTGTGATGAGACTAAGATTATTTGATTTGTTTCAGAGTTTGCCAAGTAGATGCTGAGCTCATGAGAAGGGTAGATCATTTCAGGAGAAAGAAAAAAAAGTTGGATCTCTTGTGCTTTCAGTTAGAAATTAATCTGAAAGTAAAGTGTCCCGATGCGTCTCAGTAATCCAGGTAGAAAAATTTTTTTTTTTTTTTTTTTTTTTT